ATCTGGTCACTGAAATTAATAGTATGTTAATGTTAAATTTTAATTTAACAATAAATCTTTTCAAATGAAAAATGATTCTGAGCAGGAATGATCAGTCAAACTGGTCAAAATATATTATATTATGATTTTCATTGATATAAGTGATTAATTTTACTATGAACAATATTAATATTTTCAGGTAAATTATTTTTTCGTCAATAACATCATATTTGTTAATTAGTATAGTAGTATCATATACTGCCTATAAAGCAGGTTTATACTTTAAAATATTAATATAGTAATATATTATTTTTATTGACTTTTGAGACAATGCCGACTACCGTAGAACGACGTTAATAAGTTCGTGTTAAAAATAGGTAATAACTTAAAATTAATCCAAATATTTTGAAAATGTTATTGTAAATAATAAAATTTAATAAAATATGTAAATGTTTCAGGTCCTTACGAATAGTGTTTTTGAATTACAACACAACAACTAAAAATCATTATTCTTATTAAAATTTGAAAAAAATGCGTTTAAACAGATATTATTTAGATTTTTAAATTTCTGAAAGTACCTACTATATACTTATATGGAAACTTGTATTACATTTCTAGCCTGAGCTACACAAATTTAAAATGTATTAATGTCATCTTCTCAAAATGTATTATTCAAAAGCTTTAAAAAAAAATCGCTTAACAACTTATGAGTGAACTTTATAAGGTTTTCGACCAAGCCTAAAAATGTTTATAAACACTAGAAAAAAGAAGCTAAATAAATTTGAACTTTTCAAGTTGGTATAAATAATTTTAAGATATTTTATTGTGTAAAGAAATTAAATTTGAATGATTGCTAAATAAAAATGTTTATTCAAAAGATAAAACAATATTATTCGTTTGAATATACAATTTCATCAAAATTTTAATTATAAATATCTATTATAATTATATTATTATATTTCACATTGTTTACGTCCCTGACCTGTATTTTATTAAAAAATAAAATAAAATTTTGAATTTTGATTATACATAAATAACGCATACCTATGGCTGTATTTTGTAGTTTAAGAAATGTTTTTAAATGCTTAATTTTAATACCTATAAGCCATAATATTATGTTTGAAAATTTAATTTAATTTAAAACCTAAAATAGGTAATAGTCTGGTATTCGCTGGAATTAAAAAAAAAAGGATATAACGTTTATTAGACATATATTTATTTTGCACAGGTGTTGGAAAGTCATACTTTTACGTGGTTGGATATTAAATAATATTTATACTTTTAGGCTGTATTATAATTTTG